CACCTGGTTGTAAAGTGCATGTTAGGCAAGCACCTACCAACTGAACCATACCACAATCTATTCTTTTCAAATGTTAAATGACACTAAAAAGTATAATATGCTAATGAAGAAAAAGTTCTAGAACAAGTATTCATTTGGATATAAATCACTCTTTTAGTCATTGCTAATATTGCTCATTTATTATATTTCTTATCCTCAAATTTACTAAAATATGGGTACTGAATTCTGTCTTAGTTACTATTTTATCTCTGTGAAGACATACCATGACCAAGGCGACGTAGAAAATATTTAATGGGCACCAACAGTTTTAGAGATGAGTTCATGACCATCATGAATCCGGAGGGGGGTTTGTGAGAGAGAGAGAGAGAAAAAGAGAGAGAGAGAGAGAGCACAAGCTAACTGGGAATAGCAAGACAGAGAGCATACAAGTTAACTGGGAATAGCATCGTTTTTGAAACCTCAAGCCCACACCCAGTGGCATACCTCCTCCAATAACGCCACAGCTTTTCTTCCTTCCCAAACAGTTCCACCAAATGAGGACCAATCATTCAAATATTACATAGGTATATGGAGGCCATTCTCATTCAAAGCACTACAAATGCCTACTACTGAGCCATGCAAACATAGGAGACAGTTTGGTGTCCTCAGACTCCTGTATCACTTTTGAGTCATGCACACACACAGACCTTGTAACTGCATTTGACAGACTAGTTCCTTCATCTGCATAAACATCCTCCTCTAACCAATGCACCTAGCAACTTTAGAATCCCCCCAGCTTCCATCTTCATCAGCTACATGTAATTCCATCTCTGAACAATAGGGCTGGGAGTCCATAACTTCCTGTATTAGAAGATAGGGAACTGTGTCAGCTAATTGTCCCTGATTGCATAGGGTTGAAGAGTTTCCAGAGATGTCAGACCTCCTCTAACTCCTCCCCCTCCTCCTTCTTTTTGGAGACAGGGTTTCCCCTTCTAGCCCTGACTATCCTGGAACTTGTTCTTTAGACCAGGCTCACCTCAAACTCACTGAGATTATCCTACATTTGCATCCTGAGTGCTGGGATTAAAGGTGTGTGTCACCACTGCCTGGCTCAGACCTCCACTTCTAAGACTGAGACAAAGTCCCAGGCAAACCAAAGTGAGTTGGCTACACAAGAGAGGAAGATGGAGAAGCACATTTTTATCATTCCCTCAGTGGAACTACACTCCACAATGGGTCCAACAATATCAGGGAAATGTAGAATTATAAAATTGCTGGGACATTGATAACCTGTTGTGGAATTTTATTTTAACTAGTCAAAGATGTATTAAATTTGTTTATGCTATGGAATATTACTTTAACTGTGCAAAGATGTGTTACAATTGTTTCTGTTGCATTTATTTAATTATGTAAAGATGTGTTGCATTTGTTTCACATTGCCTGCCTAAGGTACCTGATTGGTTTAATGAGAGATGAGTGGTCAATAGCTAGGAAGGGCTGCCAGGCAGTGAGAATAAACAGGAGGAGAACTCTAGAAAGAGAGAAGAAAGGAGAAAAGAACTGGGGAGAAAGAGAGGGCTGGGGTCAGAAGCCAGGCAGCCACCAGCTAGACATGGAAAAAGTAAGGTATACAGAAGGAAAGAAAAGTAAAAAGCCCTGAGGCAAAATGTAGATAAAGAGAAACAGGTTAAAGGGCTAAGTTAAGGCCGAGCATTCAAAATGGTAAGTCTCCATGTCATGATTTGGGTGCTGGCTGGTGGCCCAAAAGAAAGAGCCTGGTACAGTAACCATCTTAAGTTTTGCAGAGACTTTTAAGTCTCTAAGAAGTACAGACATTTGTTGTGAGGTCACAATGTGCTTATTAGCATGTCAGGACCAGACTTCAAATTGCCACATTCCCAATTAAGGGTACTTCCTACTGCTTCCCATTTTGGGGAACTCTCATTTCCCATTTTATCATGATCTTAAAATGTAAAATGAATTCAGTTGGTTTATCTTTTGGCCACAGAACTCAACTGGGCACCACTTTCAACTGTACTTCTGATGGGACTGTGGTGGAGGGCTGGAGCCCAACCAGCTTCACAAGGCCTCAGTGGAGCAGTCCTCCATGGCCATGGGGCACTCGTTCCTACCTGCCATTTCTGTAGCCTCCTTTGCAGTATTCCCCACATGCATCTAGTTGTTATTGCCTCAGTGCTACCTTTGGCTGAGACAGGCATGTGCGAAGAACATGTGCTTACTCCTTTTACAGTAGTAGGCAAGGAGGTTGTATCGCTCTTTAGGCTGAACACTTGCAAAGCTCATGACTGTCTTGCTTCCTGTTTTATATCCATTTAAAAGGCGCACTTAAAATGACTACTTTCACATTTAAAGTTTGCATATAAGCCGATCATTTGTGTGTGTTTGTGTGTGTGTGTGAGAGAGAGAGGGAGAGAGATCAAGTGTGCTCTATATTCAGTTTTATTACTTAAGACAGTATCTCTCACCGTATCTGGAGCTAGGCTGTCAGGAAGCAAGCCCCACCAACTCTCCTGTATCCCACTCCTCTGAATGGTTTGAATGCTTACAGACATGTGAACAGCCATATCTGATTTTTTATATATGAGCTGGGAATTTGAACTTGGCTTATTTTTGTATAATAACAGTTTTACCTCCTGAGCCATCATCTCCCTAGTCCCGCAAGTCCCACATGACATCAGTTCTAGGTTATCTGATGATTTATGTACACAACTTAAAGGATATAGTGATGTTTCTACTCTGATCACCCATATACACTGGCTATCCTCCTTTGGACACAACAGTCTGTGCTGGAAGTTGGCTGTTGCATTCTGGAAAATTCTATGATGACTTATTACCTCTAGCAGTGGTCTCTTCACTAAGCCCTTTGTGAGCACCTGTGGATTCAATGTTCTGAATTTCTCAGCCTTAATCTTTCTCTTCTCCACTTGGCTCAGTGCCTGTAGTTCTTGGGTGCATTAGAGGGGACATATATAAGAAAAGAAACACTTCCAATGGTGACATTATCAGGTGCCACTGTAAACCTGGTGTGTTTTTGTACTTTTCCTTTGCTCCTACTCCTTTTAAGTAATCCTATCATGTATTTCCCTACTGTTTCTTCAGACAAACTTGAAGTTCTTGACATTGCATGGTGGTGTTGGTGGTGTGTGTGTGAGAGAGAGAGAGAAAGAGAGAGAGGGGAGAGAGAGGGAGGAGGGTCCCACCATGTAGCTTTGGCTGGCTTGGAGCATACTATGTAGATCAAGCTGGTCTTAAACTTTTAGAGATCCATCTGTCTTTGTCTCCTGAGTGCCAGAACTAAAGCATATACCACCATGCCTGGCTACAGAGTGATTTTAAGGCTTTTGTTTGACATTCTGATACAGTGTTTTTCATACTTTAAAGCTCAGCTTCACTACAAGAAGATAATTATATATATATGTGTGTGTGTGTGTGTGTGTGTGTGTGTGTATGTATGTATTGTTCCTAGGGCTAGAGAGACAGCTCAGTCTGTAAAGTACTTGCTGTTCAAAACCATGACGACCCGAGTCTGTGTCTTCAGGACACTCTTTAAAAAGCTAGGCATCAGCCTACAATCCATAACTCCACAGAACCTTGAAAACTTCCATAAACAGATGGAAGCATATGCAGAAATCCATTAACTAACCAATGGCCAAGCTCTTGAAGTACAATCAAAATGAGGGAGGACTGACAATATGAACAAAGGAGTCAAGACCATGATGGGGAAACCCACAGAATTAGCTGACCCAAGCTAGTGAGAGATCACTGACTCAGGTCTGACTATGGGGAACCTGCATAAGACCGAACTAGACTTCCTCAATATAGGTGACAATGGTGTGACTGGGACAATATATGAGGCCACTGGCAGTGGGTCCAAGTTCTAACACTAATGCCAAATTGACTTAGTGGAGCCCATTCTATATGGAGAGATACCTTGCCCAGCCTAGACACGGGGTATGGGGGTGGAGAGGTGCCTTGACCATGCCTCAACGAGATGATGGGACAGACTTAGTAAATTTCCTAGGGAAGAGTGGGGATAGCAGGAAGAGAGGAGGGAGGGTGAACTGGGATTAAATTAGGAAAAAAAAACACAAAACAAAAACAAAAAACAAACAAAACAAAACAAAAAAAAACTAGGTATGACAGCAGTTGCCTGTAATCCCAGTGCTGGGGAGATGGAGAAATGAAGAAAGATCCTTGCAGCTCACTGGCCAGTTAGTACCAGTAAATTCCAGATCCAGTGGGAAATGCTGTCTCAAAAAAACAAATCAAACCAAACCCCGAAACAAACAAAAAAGTGGCAAATAACAATTGAGGAAGATAGCTAATACCAACCTCTGGAGTTCACACCCATGATCACACACATGAACACGTTCATGAGTGCGAGTGTGCATGCACACACACATACACACAGACATGTAATTATTTTATCCCCACAAACATAATTTAAAGCATCTCTGAAGGGGGCAGGGTATTCTAAAGGGACAGGAATCCTTTCTGGCTTGAAACAAAGCACATGAATAACTTCCTTGAAGCCTGTACTTGTTTGAACTATTTCAATAAATGGATAGTGAATTTCACTACTTTGATGTATAACATATTGTAGTAATTTATGGGTATGTGTTTGTGGGTGGATGCTCCTATGCCACAGTTGACATTTGCTGGTCAGAAAACAATTCTCTTTCAACCATGTGGGTTCCAGGGATTGAACTCAGGTCGCTTGGTGGCACATACCAACTCACCAATCTTGGTATTTAATTTGAAAGGTTAATATCTAGAATGACTGTTATATGGAGCAGTTATGATGCTTTTTTTCAAAGAAGATAGCTAATGAGTCCTTCACAAAGCAAAGGCTTCAAAATGGTGACTTTAACTTCTGGCTTTCCTTTAATTTTGCAAACTGGGTCTCTAGAGTAACAAACATCCTCAGCTACTTCATCAACAGGTCACTTTATCTAAAAACCAAATTATTCTAAAGTAATGATATGAACCATGAAACAAAGTAGTCAGCAGGAATTTATTGAAAAGTCTTAGTAAACTTCACAGGATCTCAAATAGGCTAGTCTCTAAAATCAAGGCAAGCACTGTAAAGAATATATTCCTGAACTTAGTTGACATTGTACATAACAAAGGAAAGTTAGCATAGGAACATCTACCAGTTGACTAAGAAAATTTTAGCTGGAGGCTAAACAACTTTGGTACATTCCTGTTTTCCTGGCCCCCCTTTTTGGCCCTCCTTTCATAGAGCCAGACAAAGCTGATTTCTTGGTGATATAACAAGCAGCAAGGAACAGGAAAGTCTTGGGCTTAGACTGCTTCTGAGGCAGGCTATGTCATTTTGGCCAAACTGAAACCATCAAATATTTAAAATTTGTATTTCTATTGTATAAGGCTCAGTCCAGTCTAATTAGTTCATCAATGACTTTAGAGGGTCTTTAAAATACTAACTCAGGCCAAGTAAAGCCAGAAACTGTCAATGGTCACCAGTTCTGAGGACAGCCAGGTAGATTTGTATAAGGGAATAAAAATCTGAAGATCATGATTGGAACATCCTGATTGGAAGATCCCCTGGGCATTCTTAAGCTTTAAGTATCTTAAACAAAAGAATTACCAACTGGTGTTTGTCATGCCAACACTTTGAGACATGTGCACGCATACATTAAGCTGTCTCCATGTTCTTGTACACAGGATGCTTCATTCAGCACAGGCCCAAATGCCCAGAAATATAGATGTAACACATTTAATAACAGTTGCATAGTGTCAAACAGGGTTTTTAAACACATGTCTTGCTAAGACTTTACAGTTTGTATCAGCATGAATATCCTAGGTGATGGGACCCCTTTCTTCAAAACAGTTACAAATAAGGCATTGTCAAAATGCCAGTTTCCATAGTAACATAAATGACATTTTCTAACATTGGTTTGACGTCTGCTGCTCTGAAATCTGATATTCTAGAGTGCTGGTCAAGTGTGTTACTTGTATGGATAGGATTTTTCTGCCCAAAAATTAAGGGCTAATAATTTATCTACCAGTTTTAAGATTTAGCAAGTGGGAGAGATTGTTTAGCATTCTAAATCTTTAGGTATACAGGCAAATCCATTTCTTTAGGGTCAGAAAAAATTGATGAGTTGTCCAACAACATGCATATTATCAGTCCAACAGTGGCCTTTGCCTCTTTAAATAATGCTATAGAGGTCTGTCTTTTTTAGTTGGGTTGAGTTGGAACTCACCACGTAGCCTAGGCTGGCCTCAAACTTGTAGTAATTTTCCTGCTTATATTTTCTGAGTGATCGATTACAGGTACAATTCTCCACACCTTGTTAAAAGAGTTTTATCAAAAATGCCACCCTCAGTGAAATTCTTCTTTGTAATGCTTTTTGAACCATTTTGTGAAGATGCTCCTAAAGGAACAACTATTTACTTTTACATCCATTGTTTTGTAGGCCTCTCCTATATCTACATTTTAACAGCTATAGAGATGATAATCAGTCATTAGAGAGATACTACTTCTGCTTACAAAGGGACAAAGAACATTTAATCCAAGCTCATTAAACAGTGTTTAACTACATATATTTGGTGGAACTCTTAAAACTTCCTTATTTTATTTGTGAAAAATCAAATCCCTATTTTATTTATGTGAAAAATCAAAATAATAATCAGCCTAAAAATGTGAAGGGATATCAAAGTTTTCTTTTGGTGGACATCTACACCAAGAAATTTTTGGAAAAAAAATGCAAAGTAAATGCTACTGCTAAAATGATGAAGTCTGTGATGATAGGACATTAGGTGCATCTTAAAGAATAATTCCTCTGGGATAAACAATGATGTGCATCAATGTGACCATGAACTCACTGGTATCCAAATCATGGTGATCACTGATCATAATATGGTAGTTTCAGGTAAGTAGACAGTTATGACATATCCTCAAAGTAGAAATTAAAAGTGATAGAGCCTTATATTGTCTTTAATATGTATAATGTCTATTAAGAAAAGTCAGTATGTCAGTGACTATCTTAGGCTCAATAAAATTCAGTCCCAATTAAGGGCAATAGTAAAATAAACCCAGTTATCATTTTCCCTGAAAAAAAAATGAAGCAAAAATTCAAAATGCATGATAATATAAATTTTCTGAGGTTCACTGTGAAATAAAGGGTATTTAGGATTTTACCCAATGTCCACAGGCATTATCATTATGTATTTACACAGAAGGCTTTCATTTGAAGTCACCTTGGGCAACCTCAAAATATATATACGACAAATTTCTGCAATGGGATTTTAGGCTCAAAAGTTGTTGCCTCAAAAGTACTAAAAACTAAAAGTACTAAATGAGGGAAAGACTAGTTCTAACTGACAACAGTTCACTAAAAGACCAAATAACCACCACCTCCCCCTGCCCCCACCAAACTGACAAGAAGTAGTCTTGAACTTTAGAAGGGGAGACAAGGAATCTCAGTGTACATAGATCGGATGCTTTTGCCAGTGATTACCCTAGAATTGCTGAGTCCTAACACTAAAACAGCAGGCAGACAAAGACAGTGAGAAGTTGGAGGAGGCTTGCTCCACCTTCAGCATCCCAATCCGGACTACAGTGGGACATGGCTGAACAAGTAGGACACGGACTCCCCATTGTGGGTTCTTCGAATGGCCTCAGCCAGGATCATTGAAATGTCAATCACCTGAATAACAAGGGAAAACATAAAAGGCAAGAGTGAGTTCTATTTCTTTAAAAGCCAGAAAGCCTATACATGTTTTCTACAGGACACATATGGTATGTTTTGGTCAAACTTTCTTTAGCCATTTATTTCTTTGGGAGTGTCCACACTAAAAATTTTCAGTCGTTTGTGGAGTTTTGCTTTTTTATATATATTTTCTTTTATTTTTTATTCATTTTTACATACCAACTAGTTTCCCCTCCCCTCTACCCTCCTCCCATTCCCCTAACTCACCTCCATCCCCTTATGAGAAAGGGTAAGCCCTTCCATGGGAGTCAACAAAGCATGGAATATTTACTTGAGGCAGGACCAAGTCCCTTCCCCCTGCATCCAGGCTGAGCAAGGTATCCCACCATAGGGAATGAATTCCATAAAGTCAGTTCATGCACCAGGGATAGATCCTGGTTCCACTGCCAGTGACCAGGTGAGATGATTAATATAAGTTCCTGGGAAGATTTTCAACATGGATACTCAGGGCTGCTGTTACCATAGATGGTCCCTTGCTGGGCCACTGGTTGTTTAAAAATTCATTGGCAGGGGCTTTTGTCTATTTAGAAAACATAGTGACTGTAATTTTTTTAAATTTTAACTTTCATTTTATTTCTTAAGTTTTTACTATAATCCAAGCATCCATTTATAAAACATGGCAATGTTTTTCATAAAATATTATAAAGCATATCGTGTACGACCTATCTTTCTACTTGGCTACATTTCAGTTTGGAATGCCAAGCCAATTAAAACTCGTATTTATCGTTGTTGTCATTTGTATGTGTGTGTGTGTGTGAGAGAGAGAGAGAGAGAAAGAGAGAGAGAGAGAGAGATGTGTGGGTAACTCCACATGTGCCATGACATGCATATGGATGTCAGAAGACAACTTTGTGGAGTCAGGTTTCCTCCTTCTACTTTTAAGTGGGTTCCATGGATGGAACTCAGATAACCAGACTTGTACAGTATGTGCTTACTAGTGAGCCATCTCACTGATCCCAAGCATTCTTTAAAAAAATTGAGTGTCTGTCATGATAAAAAGCACAACCATGATCATTTTACCTTGGGGCCAACAAACTATTTTCCTATAAAATACTAGAAAGTTAAAAGTCTGGGGTTATCTCTGTATCAAACACTCAATTCTGCATGGCAGTGCAAAGGCAGTCACGGGCAACATAGGAATGAAACATGAGTATGTGTCAATAAAACTTTATTTAAACTACAGAGGTAGGCTAGACTTGGCCTTTGGCAGTTACTACAATACTGTTAATCATGCATAAAAACATAAGGGACCACTATTCAGACAATTTTCAAATTTATTTCCTTGTGCTCAAATGGCCTCTTTTTCTCTCATCTGGATAGAAATCATGAAAAGCACCACTGTGTTCCCCCATCTTCATGATTAATGAGGGAACCAGGGCTGCCTCTTAAAGGAACACAGTCACTGGCCAGGGGTCACTGAAATATCAGTTCAAAACAGAAGCTGCATTGATGTCAAGTGACTTAATCAGCTCTCTGGTAGCCTATAGGCATATAGTCAGGAGGGATATGAAGAAGTAGGTCCCCCAAATATGCTTAGCATAGTCTGCTCCTCTCCACTCCATGTTAGGGGACGATATAGGCAGGAATGAAGTGTGCTACATAGTAACCCTATGCTTAACTTTGTTTTTCAGTGTTGAGCATGCTAGGCGAGTGCTATACCACACTATATCCCCAATGCTCTTAACGTTTGATTTTGTGATTTTTTCACTTGCTACTTCTTTTGTTTCTCTCCTACCTAGTGAGGTGCTATTTGCAATTTCATTTTGTTTGTGAGACAAGATTACTTGCAGCTTGGGCTAGTTTCCTCATGATATTCCTGCCTCTACCTTCCAAGTACCACATATAGATTATTTCATGTTTCTTTTTTAAAACTTGTTTTTTTGAGATACTGTCTCATTCCTCCTAGGATTGCCTTGAATTTAAAGATGACCTTGAGTGCTTGATCTTCTTGCATCTACCTCTTCAAGTGCAGGGATTACTTTATTCGGTACTGGTACTGGAACCCCCTAACTCATGCATGTTATGCAAGCATTCTACCAACAGCATTATATCCCCAGCCTCCTCCTCTCTCCTCTATTTCCTTCCTTCCTTTTTCTTTGCTATTTCCAAGCAGTGACCATTGACCTCTTGATCCTGGTCTTTCTCAGGGATCAAATATAACTGATAGCCCATTTCAATGAGAAGCTTCAGTCTCCATTACCATCTGCCTTAGCAAACAGAAAGCTAGATACTATTTTACGGGTCTGAAGCAGATGCCTTGATGCATGGTTCTGCCTGGGGTATGAATAGTACCTGAATCTTGGAGCAGTGTTTCATTTTGTCCTCTTGTGGAATTGTGTTGGTGACAACAACAGCTTCAAAGGCAGCATTATTTATTCTGGAAATAGCTGGCCCGGAGAAGATCCCATGAGTGAGGATAGCATAAACTTTGGTGGCACCAGCTGAGAGCAACCTTCGAAATAGAAGACAAAAAGTTACTAGTGGCATTGCATACCTGTAACCCTTGCTCTAGGGAGGCCAAGACAGGAATACAGCGAGTCAGAAACAAGCTAGAGTTAGTGAGTAAGGTCCGGTCTCAAAAATCAAGTGTCCACAAATATTCAAATATTCTTGAAATACTCTATATTGTCTCAATACTATTGGTGAGAAGTGTACCCTATAAAAAAGTCAGACAAAATCCATTTGCATTTACTAGCCAAAATGAGGGTCTTCTAAATATATGTGTTAGCAAAATGCTCTGTGTTCCATTAAATCAAGGATTATCAACCCTGACATTGGGATCTATATAATTTTTGTCATAGGGGCCATCTTGTCTATCATAGGAAAGTTCAGTAGCATCTCTACAACTAATGATACCTTTAGACAATGTCAAAAACTATCTAAGGAAAAAAAAAAAAACTATCCTGTGTTGAGAATCACTGATTTCAACCAATAGCGCCCAAACATGTGACATGCAATCAAATCAGAACATTACCAGTGAGACCGAATAGTATTCCACAGCCATGTGTGGCAAGGAGCTGGGGCTCATATCCTGACAAGTATAGCTTTGTAGCCTTTGGAAAGCCATTTGAGCTATGAGACTAGCCCAAAGGTTGAGATGAAAGAAGCAAGGGGGCAAACAAACAAAATCCCTGTCTTTCTGGGCCTGGTTTCTCAGAAGTACCTTTTCTGATCCATCCTTTAAAAAAAATGATAGGAAAGCCCAACCTCGAAAATGAAAATGTCCAAGGATTTTTGTTATTGGTGGCTGTTTTATTTTTTTTTTTTAATCAGGGAAAGAAGACTGAGAGAAAAAAAGAACTTAGAGTCTCATTTTTAGAGTCTGTGTCCTAAAATTCTACTGCCAAGTCATCAGCAATAATTAAGAAAATATATAGCCTAAATTTCAAATAATAGATGCCAAGCCTAACAATCTGAGTTCAATCCCCATGATTCATAGTAGAAAGGGAGAATTGACTCACAAAAGTTGCCTTTTGACCTCTACTACTGTAGCAGATCATGCATGCCTCTTCCATGCATGCATGCATGCATGTATGCACATATGCAAACATACACATACGCACACATACACAAACATACACACAAATAAATAAATATGAATGTTTTTCTTTCTTAACGAGATGTTTTCTTGTCTTTCATGGACCACCCCACGTACTTATCTGCAGCATGGCAGATGGTACCACATGTGTCAGCCATGTCATCTACCAGGATGGCCACACGGTCCTTCACATCGCCCACCAGAACCATCCGGTCTACTTCGTTTGCTTTCTTTCTCTCTTTGTGAATCAAAGCAAATTCCACATTCAGCCTGTCCGCGATTGATGTAACCCTGTGGAAAGATACAAAGGAACATGCCAACACAGTCCACCAAAGAATTTATTACTGGGTCCTAGACTGGGGAAATAGCTCAGTTGTAAATTGTTTGCCTTGGAAGAATAACACTGGGTTCAATCCCTAGAACTCATGTAAAAAAAGCCAGAAGTGATGGTACATGCTTGTAATCCTAGCCTGTGGGAGACAGAAACAAGTAGATCCAGCAGGCCTTCACTGAAAGATCCTGTCTTAGGCTGTTTACTAGCATGGCTGACTCCCCAAGTTCCAGCTTTAGCACTGTGAAAAAATAAAATATGTATTTGAAAAACGTGTTTTAGGAATATAGCAAGCAGTCACACTCAAAATAACGAAAAGGTTTAGGCCATGCGCGTGACACCAGGAATAGTTGAGATGACACCACATACAAGCTGATGATGAACTCTGCTTTTGTTGTTGGATAAGACTGCTGGTTAAGAAACTGCTACTCCATTTCTTAGGATTTGGGATTCCATTTAAAACACATAGGCACAACTTAAAACAAGTTACTTAGGACTTAACTATTTTTTTTTTTTTTTTTGGTTCTGGATCCAAGGTAGGGACAAAAGTTTTTGTTACCATATGCAAGCACTTTGTAGGCTTGTGAGGAAGGGTTTCATTGAAGCCTAATGAGATTCTGTCTAGGTGTGCTCAACCTGAATTTTGTAGGCTGCATGTTGCCAAGGACAACCATGACTGTGGCCCAACACTAAATTGTAGACTTACCCAAAACATGAGATTTAAAAAGGTTTATTTTTGTTTTATATGTATGGATGTTTTAGCTGATGTACCATGTGTGTACAGTGCCTATGGAATCCAGAAGAGGGTGTTGGATCCCCTGGGACTGTTATAGATGGTTGAGCTACCATGTGCGTGCTGGAAAAAGAACCTGGGTCCTCTGGAAGAGTAACCAGTGCTCTTAACAGCTAAGCAATCTCTCAAGTCTGGAATATATTTTAAAAGAGCACATGAAGTTGGAAGGGGCAAGTGATGGGAGAAACAGGGCAGTAATTGGAGGTGAGGGGAGTGAGCATTTAATCAAAACACATTATATGAATATATGGAATTATCAAACAATACAAAAATGAGATTTAAAAATAAACTTCAATTGCATGATTCTTAAGTGTAAACTTTCTACATGACAATGTGGTATTATAATGTCAGAAGGATGGCCATGCCTGCCTAAATCTAGTTCCTCTACTATGCAATGTAACTGTTCATTGTCACTCAGGAGAACCCACTTTTTGTGACTGAGAAGATAATTTGAAGCAGACATAGTTAGTACTCCATCTAGGTTACCATGCCCCAACTCTGAAGACTTTCAACACAGAGTTCAGGAAATTGTAAACACATACATCATAGACTTTATCTTTTAAACCACTTAAAGTATGTGATTACATGGCATTAAGTGTATTCATAATGATACTCAGCTATTAACTTCATTAGTTCCAGAACATGCCACAAAACCATAAGGAAACCCAGTAGCTATTAAATTGAACCGCTATACATTTTGGCATACATGTAGCTTAGTGTCTTCCTCCAAATCTTTTAAGCATTAATCTGAGAGTAGTGTGTGTGTGTGTGTGTGTGTGTGTGTGTGTGTGTGTGATGTGTGTAGGTACATGTGCTCACACACACATGCTGAGGCCATACAAAGATGTAGGGTGTCCTATTCTATCATTATCCACTGTATCACTTTGAAAATATTAATTCTCTCTCTCTCTTTCGATGTTTTGATAGGGTTTCTCTGTGTAACTGTCTTGGCTGTCTTGGAGCTTACTCTGTAGACCAAGCTGGATTCAAACTCACAGAGATCCACCTGTCTCTGCCTTTGCCTCCCGAGTGCTGGGATTAAAGATGTGTGACACATGCCTAGCTAAAACAGAATTCTTACTGAACCTAGAACTTGTCATTTTGGCTAGGCTGCTTGGCTCACAACTTCCCAAGATCTGCCTGTTTCTGGTTCCTAGGGCTGAGACTGCAGATAGGTGCAGCCATGTCCAACTTTTACATAGGTGGAAGGGATCTAAACTCAGGTCTCCATGATATTTGGGGCTGCATTTGGGTCCTCTGGAGATTAGGCAGCTTGACAATCCTTCTGAATGGAAAGAACCACCAAGGCAGAAGATTTGAGGGAACTATCATTACACATGCACTTCAAAGCTGAAATGGTAGACCAAATCAGTAGAGGCAGAGATGGTAGAATGGTAGAAGCAGGTGACAACTGAGAAGTTGCAGGAGGCAAAGCTCTTTCTCTGAAACTCTCCTAGGAGTCTTAATAGTGTGTGTGCGTGTGCGCACTCATGTACACAGGTGCCCACAGGTACCAGAATTGGTCATCAGATCCCTTGGAATCGGATTTACAGGTGGTGGTGAACAGCCTGACATGGGTACTGGTATTTCGGATCTGGTCCTCTACATGCTAAGAATGGCAAGTGCTTTATAACCACTGAGCCATTTCTCCAGTCCCTTAAGAATCTTAAGCTTCTGCTTTGCTGCTGGGATTGCTGGGGTGGTGGTGTTGAGAGAATAAACCTATGACCATATGAAACAAGAATCTGTGTAATAGAGGGGTGCTACACATTTTATGTCCAGCATAGCAAGCAATGAAATCTCATCCTGCTAACCTAGTGGGAACCGGAAGGACATTACTCTGCCTTGTTTTCGATTCTGGGTGAAGGTCAGTTCCTTTTAGAACATTCTAAACCACATCTCCACTCTCCTGACGGTTGCTTATTTCAGTTCCCATTATATATACGATGAAAACCCTCAAGCACAGAGTTGAGTTTAAAGTGATAATGTGGGGTAGTTCTCCATGGGGCCAAAGAAATATGTGCAAGTCCTCTCAGGATTACAAAGAAAATTTTCTGGAAAAAAAAGGGGACATAAGACTTCCAAGGATAACCAGACACCCAAATTGGAGGTCAGAAACAGCTGTAACCAAATCATAAGTTCAAGGAATGAGCCATGGGAATTAGTTGAAAAACAGGCTAAAGGAATTGTATCATGTTTTAAAGAAATAAAATGGATGTCTGAACAAGGATAAAGGGTAAATGAAGAATGTCCAATCAAGACTTGAGAAAACAATGTTGAAAAATAGAAAATAATACAATTAAACTTCATTGAACTTATAGACATAGTAGGAAACAAAATAAAAATATCTAAAAATAGAGTAGATTAAAGATGAGATGAAGTTATAGTCCAGAATGTAACACACACACACACACACACACACACACACACACACACACAAAGAGAAAGGCAACATTAAAAATGAGCTCAAAGTCATGAATAGCAGAGTGACAATGTGGTAGGAGTAGCTATAGTTTGTCAAGAGAAAAAAAGGAGGCCATGGAGATGGCTTAGCTGGTAAAGTGTTTGCCATGCATGCACAAAGGCCTGAGTTTGAGTCCCAGCATCTACATAAGAGCTGGGTGTGGTGGTGTGTGCTTGTTATCCATGTTCTGGGGGAGGGAGAGATAGGAGGATCTCCGGGGCTCACTATTCAGGAAGGCTGTCTAAATGGGAACTCCAGGTCACAATGAAAAAGCCTATCTCAAAAACAAAAACAAAACACCAAGGCAGACTGCTACTAAAGAATGACACCCAGGGCTAACCTCTGCCCCCGCCACACAAGCACGTGTGCGCGTGCACGCACGCGCACGCACACACACACACACACACACACACACACACAGACACACACACACAGAGACAGACACACACACACACACCTTTCCCATGCCCCCCCCCACTTCAAAATAATGCCTAAGAATTTTCCAGAGCTACTAAAAGACATGTTACTTAAGAGGTAAAATGGGTCCTCTAGAAAGGAATAGCAGTCAAGTTCTCAGCATCCACCATGAAGTCAGGCTGTGAGTCTATCGACACTAAAATTACACTTCCATATGAAGGCAGCATGAAGATGTGTTCAGGCAAACTCTATAGCCTGAAAATTCAACTCTAAAAATCTATAGTAGGAACCAAAACTCTAGTCATCTCAGCAGACATCCTTCCTTTCTGAAGGTGTCTATCTACCAACAGTTTCTTTACTTAAACAGTTAATTGAAAGAAGTAGCTTGTAATTTGAAGGCAGGCAAACATTTTTGCCCCATAATCATCTCCAAGTATATACTATGCACATGCCAATTTTATGATAAACCTTTTAAACTCGGATTAGAGAAAGGTGGTCTCTCAGAACATGAGACAGCATTATTTTTTTAAGGCACTTGAGGTGATTATGTAAAATGTAGATACTGAATAATTCGTATTTATTTCCTAAATAATAGGACGGGCCCTGGTCCACTGCACATCAATGGGAGACACTAACATTTGTGGCTGAAGTTATATGCCCATGAATCCAGGTATAATCTCATAATCCCACCACAAACAGGCAGATGGAAAGGCACAGTGGCCAGGGAAAGAACGCGAGCTATGTGGCTCTTAGCACTGAGGAACATAGACATCTGATCTGGGTAGAGTTCCAGTCATGTCAGTTACTCGCTGGTTCATAAGCATAAGAGAAAGGGAAAGATTCCAGCTCCAAATCCCCCAGGTCATTATAATATTAGCAGTTCCTGAGACAGCTGCATGTAAGTAATTCCATATACACAATATGTGCCTCCAATAAGCAAGGTCAATACAACAAATCTCACTGAAATTTTAGGTGAAAAGAGTTAAAACACACATTGTTTGATTGGTGCATGTATATGTAGAGGCCAGAGGTTAGTGCTGTTTCCTGTCACTCTTTATCTTATCATTGGAAACAAGAGTTTCTCACTGTTTTGGCTAGACTGCCCAACCAGCACGCCCTTGGAGTCTGTGTGTCTCAGTCTCACTAGTGTTAGAGCTATACACTGCCACACTTAAGATTTTATATTGGTATTGGAGATACAAATTCAGGGTAAGATGCTTAGACAGTAAGCAGTCTACTCATTGAGTAATGTCTCCATATACATGTATCATTTAAATGTTATTTAT